GAAAACTGGTGTAGTCTTCCATAGTACTTATGATATTACAGTAGTAATTGTTCTGTTACCTGTAATGTCTATGGTTGTACCATAGCATTTGTGATGCATATGTAACGGTAGTTTTATGATGTTACGACATTGTACTTGTGATGTAACTGTAGTTTTGTGGTGTTACTATAATGTACTTGTGATGTAACCGTAGTTTTGTGGTGTTACGATATTGCACTTGTGATGTAACCATAGTTTTGTGGTGTTACTATATTGTACTTGTGATGTAACTGTAGTTTTGTGGTGTTACTATAATGTACTTGGGATGTAACCGTAGTTTTGTGGTGTTACGATATTGTACTTATGATGTAACCGTAGTTTTGTGGTGTTACTATATTGTACTTGTGATGTAATATTGGTTTTGTTGTGTTACCATATTATTACTAGTGTTGCTACCATTTCATGCTGTTAGTGAACCTTTTAGATTTGACTACACTGGTTGTCTTATTGACCTAGATGTATGTGTTTTGCAGAATTGTACATTAATTAGAAATTTTATTGATGGCAAATGGTAGCGATTACAGTGATATTAATAATAATAATAAGTACAATCAGTGCAGGTCTAATATGTTTATGTACTGGTAAGTACATGATGACATAAATAGTAATTAGAAATCCAGGATCGTTTTCGTACTATTCGTTATTATTTTTCTTATTTTGGGAATAGAGTTGGAAAATTAATGGTTTAGAGAGTTTAGATATGTTTGTTTTGTATTTGTGGGTTAGAGAGTAATGAAGATGTTAATTTGAATTTGTGGGTTATAAGAGAGTAATGGAAATGTTAATTTGTATTTATGGGTTAGAGAGTAATGGAGATGTTAAGTTGTATCTGTGGGTTAGAGAGTATTGGAGATGGTATTTTTATTTCGTAGGTTAGAGAGTAATTAATTGATATGTTCATTTTGTATATCATGCTGTTTATATTTGTTTATATTTAGTGCTGTTCCGGGATTTCTTTATGGTAGGGATTAATGAAAGGTGGTTAAATTAGAAATATATAATTATGTGTTTGGGAATTGTAGCTGGTTTCAGTCTACTGATATTTTGTGCACAGTGTAGCGGAACTGGACTGGGTCATCTGTCGACGACCAGGTAGCTCAATTGGTAGAGCGTCCGTCTGAAGTTCGGAGGGTCTGGGGTTCGAACCCCAGTCTGGCCGTGCATTTTTGCTCTCCTGTTGCACAATGTCAGTGATAATGCTCCCAATACCTAAAGCAAGAGGTAGACTGAAATGAAATCTGTCCATGAACAAA